ATATATTACTAATCCGAAATTAACGCGGACGAAGTCGCGGGCAAAACCTAGTTCATTATTAAAGACGAGGTTAGTATACTTCGCGCAACCATTCCAGAGGTTGTTATGGTCGCAGTCTACAACGATCAAAACAACTATAATAATTTTATATTACTATTAAAATAATTACCACAGAAATATAGTTTATAACAAGACAGTATTTAATGAGAGCTGAGATTTTCGCGAGTCATTTATATGAAACTAATATTTTGCGGATATACTACGCGACTTTATTTTAGCATAAAAGACAGTATTTTTTTTCAATCCATCGAAAGGGCGTACTATACATATACATATATAGAACGATAATATTTTTGGTGAGTTGTGATAGTGATAAGGTGTCCAGACATCTCTGAGTCGTTGGTACTATAACAAACATATGTACAAATATTGTCGACTCCACAAAGCCGGTTCAATCATGAAGTGTTGTTAATAAAACATACGTGTCTGACAAAAAGGGGGTTGTCAAAGTATTCGTGGAGCGTCTGACCGGCGCGGCGCGGGTACAACCAATATAAGCGACGGTGAAGTTCTGACAGCCAGGCTCCCCTTGCAAACGAAACTTTCAACATGACCAGTACTCTCTAGGATATAAAGATCGGACTCTTACGTCGATCCAGGATAATAAGCATGTATGTCTGTATGTACATAATAACCACTCTTGACTTTAAATCCTTTTTACAGACTTCAAACAATGAGAAGAGTTTTTATTTAATCTATATATATTTTATATATGTCCGCGAACTGCCTGATACATGAACCGGTTCTTACGAATTTTTTGGTGAAAATAAAACATCAGAAGGTTAATACCGTGAAGAGAAAACCGGGAGCTGATGATGGAGGTGTTGTAATAGAGATGAACCTTCAAAACTCCTTGTTAGTTAGGAAACCTCTTCGCGACCGCGTTGTTTTCGCATAGTTCCCGCTGCCGTAAGATTTTCGGAATATTTTAAAAATGTTACACTTTAAAATCAAATCATTTTACTTTACTGTTATTTTTGAATGTATTCACACTCAGGTAAATGTTGCATATTATTTAGGGGAGTATTACTGTAAGGTCCAGTCGTCACTTAAAATAATAAAATAAAAATAATTTTAACACGAAAACAAGGAGCTTTAAAACTAAAAAGTAACAATAAATTTATTCACTCAAAAGTATTATTAGAAAATATTAAAATTGAAGTTACCTTTTGGATTTAGCTTTTGAAATTGAGTTTCAATTGAGTTTTTTTTGTTACAATTTTGTTTAATTTTGAGAAATAATTTATTGACAATCCAATTTATTGTTATAAAAATTGTGCTAATGTTACATTTATAAATTAATAAAAGTTTAAACTATGTCAATAAGTATTGACATAAAGGGATGCCATATTAAAACACCTTCTTTGGTACAGCATGTTCTCCCAAAGGCCAAAATATAAACTTTCAAAGATATTCATTAAAGGGACTCATTTCTATTAACTATATGTTCTTTATTTCTTAAAATATTCATAATAATATTTACCGTACTACTTCCTGCTCTTAACAGTTAATGCTAACTGACTTGAAACACCTCATTATAATTCAAAACATTTTCACTCGACACTAAAATAATTTGTGAAGACCAAACATTGAAACATTATTTCACCTATCAGTAAATGATTCCCGATCAGGGATATGTGATCTTACGTGTGTGAGATAAAGGTTAAAACATATTTCAGGAGCTTTAACATTTAAGGGTTTACTCAAACGTTTGACTAACAACAATGTATATATAATTATTTTTTTTACAATATCTCTCGTAATTAATATTAATAATAGTAGTTTATATCTATCTGACGACCAGATTAAATTGTATTAACGTTAAAAAGAACATAAACGTATAAAGATAAAGTTATAATATTAGTAATGAATATTGTTTTGTTTGTCGCGTGACTCGCCACAATCATCGCTGAAAGCTTCTGTTTCAAACTATCCGATTCATTCATTCCGTGAAGAAAATTGTAAAGTTTGTTCGAACTTTCAATCGAATTTGTCGAAAATTGATCGTCGATGAAGTCGACTTATTGTTATTATTGATACGAATCCTTCCCGACTCTGGTTCAAATTAAACTGGTCCTTCATTAACCAACTAACTGTTCACTAGCCGGTTTCCGTCCGGGAGCATACATCGCATGTGTACAATTTACATAAGTCGCCTGCGCCAGAAGTGCGTCAACTCGTAAATCTACCGACGAGGGGATTTCTGTTTGCGAAGTTTATTTTTTATTATTTTGTACTTTATCTCTGCGAGGCGAGCTCCCGACTACTCCGGCGCAAGCCGTCTGTTACAGCCGCTTAACTTCAATAAATCAATTTATACGTTCAGCCTAACTCACACACACATACACTCAGACTAGGAACAGGTTAGAACAACTGTTTATGAATCTGACGCTCTGTATGTCTGTATATAATGTTTGAAACGTTCTATAATTTTCTAGTGAGTAACCCGAACTGAACCGTCACAATCAAACTCTATTTAAAATAAAACCGTCAAGTCTCGGAGTGTTCTCATTGTGTAATGTAAAGGTAAAAATATTTCACTCTGAATATTCTTCCGAAGACGTCCAAGTCGCGACGCCGAGCATCAGATATCGTTGCATGTGACGTGTCCATTTTACATCACGGAGTTGTGTCTTGAGCGTCGTTCTATTTCAAACACGATAACGCCAACTTTCTCATCCTCCAAATGTGAATACCTTGTTGCACAAATGTGACTAACGGAAAACTGTACAACTAACTCGACTGTCCTTTCGCGAAACACCTCGCCCCCTCCCCCCACCCTATAACAGAGAACAACCCCCCTTTACTCCCCCCTACACCCACTTGCCTGGACCGCGAAACCATTTCTATTCAAATTTCCTTATAATCTACTTTTTACATTATAAGAAAGAGGAAATATTTTCTACTTACGAAGACACACTTTCCGCGGAATACATTTGCAGCTCTCCAGAATTACAAAGTTCTAAACTCGGTAGTTATTCTTGTAGTATTTTTATATTATAATCAGTTCTCAGGAGTGCGGACGAGGCTTTCATTAACGGGATACCTCGAGAACATTAAACATTGCAATAACATAGAAGTTAGCAACTAGATAACTTTATACAACTACAAGTAACTCTTAACAGACGACGATATACACTGCATTAGTAAGGCAATTTATTTAAATATTAATATTAAGCTTTGGTTAGGAAAACACGTAACTTTTGAACTGAACTGTAATTCATGGGAACTTTATAATTCAAGACTGTGTTAAACAGACGTGTTCACGTGAAAGAAATGATATGCTACATTTTTTTAATTGAAAAGAATATAATGCATATCGTATTATTTTTCACAAGCGCTCGGTATTGTCTTAATTATTTTAACACATAAATATATCTGAGTCCAAAATCACGGTTTTATTAATAAAAAATGTTATGTGATATCCTTGATAAGGTTGTTTAAAAAGACAAATATTATTCATCGTTTCATTCTGTTGCAATATAATTAAAAGCTAATCATTATTGGATATAATTCGTGAAAAATCTTCAAAATACAAAACTGTTTTTTCTTTCATTTATATTAATATGAGATCATTATAAGTCTTGTTAACGCTAACTGTCACAACATTCAAATACTGGCGTCCCTTATCAGTCTCTACCTTCACTGTTATAACTGAAATGATGTTAGCAGTCGGTAAAAATATACGTATGTTATATATAATGATTCAAGAAATAAAAAGAGAATATGTATAGTCAAAGAGATTATAGTATAAAATAGTCTTTAAAAGATAGGTAACTATGATCATATACTAATATTATTGGAAGAACGAGTATTTTTAAAGTTAAGAAACTTTTTTAAATTCAGTTTTCTCATTTTCATTTAAAGAATGTGTGATTGGTTATATATATAAGGAGTCACGTCCCTCCCCGTCCTTCTGTCTGTCTTTTTTGTAATTAAAAGTAAAAGATTATTATAACGTTCACTTTGTAACCAGTACAGTTGAAGTATCTTCCGACTCAGCCTCTCACTATCAAACAACCGGAGCCGGCGGAACGTTTACTTAATGTAGGTTTTCTAAGTAATGTGATTTAAAAGTTTTTTCGTTTTTTATTCAAACTTATATTAACGGATAAAATTAATCTCTTTGACTTTGTAAACGCTTCAACTGAAAAGAGCAACGGCTCAGTTTTTAACCATCTTAAATTTAAACATTTTGTTTTTAAAGGTTTCTATATTTATAAGTATATAAAGTGAAGTTTTATATTCTTTCCCGACGCCGTACAACAGATATACTATTATAAATGTATTTTTTAAAGATTAACTAAAATAATTAATGAATTTTGAGAGTTGTTTAGTAATATTTGTTAAACAAATCGAAGGTTACACTCCTCAGTCGTGATCTCCAACACACGTATCGGAGTGTGTGAGCTTGTAACAAGCATTTACTAGACTGTAACTAGTTTCTTTGTTTCTAAAGCACTGCGAGGAGTTGTAATGGCAAATTTATTCTACTGAATAAACAATGCAACTCCACTAAGACGGGAAGCTTAATAACAGCTGCAAATATATCTTTATGAAGACACCCTCTCTATTGTACCATGTTGATTTTATATTACTCGCTAACATTATTTACTATTTAAAATATTTTATAATGTGAAAGAAATTTTTGGATTTTGAAAGTCGGTTGGTGGAATTGTTTAAAATATTGTAGACCAATATTAGTGGCACGTTTAAAAACTTGATTTCCCGATTACTCGTCGTAACTAAAGGTTGAAGAAGATAAACTTTAAAATGTAACTTCATAACAGGTTTGTAAGAAAACTCACAGATAAATAAATGAATGAGTTCGCCACTCACAGTCGCCGAGTGGATCGTCTCAACTACCCTTTAACTTGTTCTTACACCAATTTAAGAGGAGTAATGACGTTCATTTGTATAGCTTTAATTCTCCCTTCCTACTAATTGATGCACTTAGTTATACTCACTTTCTGCCTTTGTGGTCGGTATAGACGATGTGGTTCCTGGTCGCCGGCGCGTGTCTGTTCTGGCTCAAGGTCTTGTCTTCCATGTTCGACCTGTGCTGTTTCGTTTCGTTCGCTTCTCTTCCGTCGGTGGTTCGCTAACTCTGAACTATCGCGTCGTCTGTCCTGGCGACCGCAGCTTCGCCCACAGAGTCTCAGACTGTGAAAGTTATACGTCGTTCATTTCATGACCCGCCGGAGTTCGTATTTACTTTCAAATTAAATATAAAACTTTTGTAGTTTTTATATTGTTTATATTGTTCTGTGTTCTTGATAACTTTTTTATTAGATTAATATGTTACTTATTAAAGATATTTCTTTATATATATAATATACATTTATATATATACCAATCGAACGGTTAGGTAGGTAAGTTAGGAGGGTGGTCCGTTTGTATAGGACTTTGAGAAAATAATCATCGAGGATTTATATAAAGTATATAAAGACATATTTAAGTGTCGGGAGGCGGAGCTCAGGAGCGAGGCGGGATTGTTTGTCTTCACGAGGAGGAGGAGATCGACTCGTTTATCGATACATTGACGAAGAACAAGAATTACAACACGCTTTAAAACAGAACGATACGAAACAAATTAATTATAATACTACATCATCATTAACTTTGAATGGAAATAGAATGTGTGTTTGGAAATAATTATAATATTTAGTTATGAATATTCGTCGCTATCATAAACAATGTAATAGTCGTGAGGACATGTCTACTGGGTGTTTAATTAACCGTTGAAGGCGGAACTCCTCGCCTCGAGCCCGCGCGGATACACATACGTAACGTGTTAAAGACACTCGCAACATATAATTACTGACTTTAATTATAACTACTGAGAACAATCAATCTCTTTTAATGATTATGATCACATTCAAAATATATTACTTTTTATGTTAATTAATAGTAACTTACTTTTAAATAGCCTCGATAGTGTTAATTGACACGAATGTTAATTGTTAAATTCGACACTTTGATGATTGTTCACAAAATAATTTAATAGATATAACGAAAGATTTCAATCAAACATTTTAATTACAAACGAAACATCTATCAAGAAATCGACATTAATATAATGATTATTATATTTCATATGTGACCGTCTCAAGTTATGTTTGAACTGTTCACCGCGAAGTAAGTTCTGTCGGTGGTCCGAGCACGCGTCGCACGTGCGCTCCTTAGTGAAGCCTGCGGCCGACTGAACACTGCCCGCTTTTCACGAGTTATCCAGCCTGTTAGTGTTAGCAAGCAAAAAGGAATCTTAAGATTAGGACGATTGAGCTCAATATAGAATGAAGGCTAAGAGTTGGATATAAAGCTGTCCATGTACCTGGATCCCTGGGAGCAGGTTCAAAGTGTGATTCTCAATCCGGGATAATCATGACGGCTTCAGAACCGAAGGATCCTGGTGATTGTGAGGTTTGGTTTGGTTTGATGTGATGAGCCTTCTGTCAAGGGTCGTAAGGTTCTTTTTGCAGGAGCCCGCGGCCGAGGGAGGCGGTCGTAAGCTCGAGGGGTGGTGCGAGTGGTCGCGCATGCGTCAACTGTAAGATTTCTTAAACTTAAAGAAGATCAAAGTAAAATACAAATTCATGAAATAAAAACATCATGAAATTCAGGGATTCATGAAGAGTCTCGCTCACACCGGGGCTGGAGACTCGTCTGGTTTATAGATCAATGACAGACGATAGAAAGACCACCTTCAATAGATGAATCTCTGACAGGATATAAAGGAGAGATGTTCAACTGATCATTTAGTATACAGACCATCGGTTAACAGAGAAGAGGTTTTAGACCATTTATGAGAGGCTGGGACGTACCTCACTCACGAAGCTCACACTGCTCGTGGTATTAACCTACTTCGGTCATATGTACTTTGAGTTTAAAACTGCACCGAGAGTCTCTCGATGCCAAATACTGATTTCATTGCACACTATATGGAATAAAATAGTGTAACAATTAATGTATGAGATGTCTTTTATTTTTATTTGTCACAAGTATAGTATTATAATCGTTTAAAAATCAAATAACTTCATTGACATGTACAGTTGAATTTATGAAATGATAGTTTTAAAAGCTACTGGTATGTGGTTTTGTACGTCGCAGGTTCGATTCTCGCTCATGTCGATATATTTCATTTGATATTTTTTTGTTTAATAAAACTTTTCCAAAACGTTCATCTGTCCGTCAGTTTGCTCGTCTTAAACAGAACGTTCTACGGATGTTAGAGAATTTTGTCTCAAAATTTTCAGACCGTATTTAAGCTTTTTAGAATTCAGGATTCCGATACAGAAAGTATATTCTGAAATTGCCTCAGAAATCAATTATTCATACATGACTAGTATTTCAGACATCGAATGAAAATAAAAAAGTCAGCATAGCAACTAATCAAAACTTATTATATACTATTTGTGTTAAAAGTCGTCGTCAATAACAGATGCAATTGCAATCATGTTTTTCTGATATCGAAGGAACTCCGTAGCATGTAACACCTGGCTGTGTTTTTCTCTTAACATGAGTCTAGTAGTACACGCCACCTTATGTCAGTACTGGAACTCTATCGCCCTTTGTGAGAATACCGCTCTTTGTCAAACGAACGAACCCGCTTCTCGTTTCCTACAAGAATTTCAGTTGCAAAGTAATGTTAAAGATCATCAGTTTGTTTTATTTAGTTTCATTCTTGGATAAAGATATATAAAAATTAAAAGTATATAAAAGCAAACAGACATTCCTTTAATAATGAGCACGTCGATCTATAAGCCCATCTTATAAAACTTGCAGAGTCTAAGGTTAATACAAATTTAATATTTAACGTGGAACACAGGGCGGGAGGTGAACTTTGCTTCCGATAATTGACCTCGACCGGTTCAAGTCTAATAGTCTTCTGGCCGGCAATTAGGACGGGATTAGAGGCGAGAGACGAGACTGAACACGGCCGGCCAGTTTACCTTCAGACTTCAATTAACTCCTCTCCACCTCCTCGCACGGGAGGGACGTGTCGTGTGACGTCATCACTAACACATTCACTTTTCATATTCCCAGACACCCGCTGAGACTTCACGAGATAGTTGGGAACTTTAAAAAGATTCAATTATAAAAAGATTCAAGACGGCATTTGTAACAAACTAACTTTTGTCTTCTTGAAAATATATGATACATCTTTGAGCACATGCATCAAACAAACGACAATGTATTTTGAGTTTATTTTAAAAGATGTAAGATGTAATATTTGTATAATAATGATATTAGTGTTAGATGTGGAACTGAATTCAGGGAACGGTTTCCTAACACAGTGAGAGCTCGACATACAAATATATCAACAAAACAATGTATACATACTAACATAAGAACTGTGACAGTAAGTCACACTTGTCAGTAATTTCAGTCATAGATATATTGTAACACACACACATGATGCATGACAAACATCTGATTCGTTCAACTCTTTATGTTTCCAATGAACTGTTTAATATTTTTCTTACAGTAATAACTCGTTGGTCCGCCGTCGGGACCGTCCGTGTGTCACGTCGGTCCTCCCGCCGCTGCTAATTAAAGCCGGATTACCGCGGCCACTGTGTCGACTATTTACTCTTTACAACTAAATCCGGAAACAGAACAAACAACCCAACAGACATACCGTCATTATGAATACTAAACACCACACACATACGATACGAGTACGATACTTCAACTTTTATATATTGCTTCTTTTGAGGGACGTAGTTATTAATATCAATTTTAACAATTTTTTTCAGAGACTGCACCATGAACGATCATCTCAATAAAATAAATACGTGAACTCCAATCATTACTAATTATCTTAAATACTAACGTAGAAATTTTGACAGATAGAAATACCAAAAGACAAAAAGTCCTTGTTAGACAGAATTAAACGAAAAGTAAACTTTTATGCTTAGATTTGATAAATTCTATAAAGAGATTAACAATGTTTACTATTTAGTTTATCACTATTTAGAATTCCAGAAACTACATAACATTATAATCAGTCACTGTGGGACCGAGATACAGTCTGTGTGAATATTACGATACGAATTGGACTCGAGGTTAAGGAAGAGTTTTATATTTTAATTACTTTAATATACCCATTAACATGTATTTGTATAGAACATAGAAATACTAATAAACTGTAATCTATAAATTTATAATATGAATGAACATCCCCTTTACTCCCAAGTAATATGTAGTTTAAAAAACAATGACGATTTCAAACTGTGACTGTAATGATTATATTATTATATCATTGATCATTACATAAATGGCCATTTAGATAAAGACCACAGATTTATCAAACAGGGTATCAAAGACGTGCTGGATCAATAGTCACAAATTCTCCAACACATACATAAATCACTGAAAAACGGTTTACTCAAATCGGGGAACGTCTGAAATAAATTTGTTTTTCGCACTCGTCCCCTCTCACAGGACCGAGCACCGAGCGCTCGCTGAAAAAAAAAACACACGGTGTGGAATATGGACGGAGAGGAGCAAGTGTTGTAAGTTCAATTATCGACACACAAGTATCTGTTTGAGTATTCCGAGCGGCGGCTGAGCCTCGCCGCAAATAACAGAAGGAGCGGCTCCTTGGGGCCCCGCTTGAGCTTTTCAATTTCCCTTTCGGAATGATTCGTACTAATCGAATACGGTCCCGGGACGCTCGCCACCAGATCACCGTGATTCATTCATGAGACTAATGCGCCACTTCCAGGCCACCACTACAACTGTTATTGGGAACATTACCCTTCACCACCACCCCATGAATCTTTTATTCTTTCCGTGTAGCCCTCGGTTCACTTGTTCTAGTATATTAAGTAGCGCCGACCCGTGACAGCGCGACACCACGGAAGATTGCGTATTCAGAATAATTAATAAATGAATAACAGTGTATGAAATGGGCCGCATTAATAATAGATGCAGCAGTTATTCAAGCGCCATTCATTCCGGCCATGCGCTTTTGTTTAGCATTCGATGGTAGACTCGGAGGCGCAAATGACGCGGCGCGCGGTATTGTCGCGGCATTAATGAGCCCGCGCTACTCCCGACTTCCTCCGAGTTCCTCCCGGTTCCCAGTTCCCAGCGACGGCCGGCGGACAGCGGAAGAGGAAAATTAAACACCTCCCGAGGCTTGTGTTCATTGTGAAGTAATGAATACGAGCCACGAGCACGTTTACTCCGCCCCCTGTGACGCTCTCAATATCCTATATGTTGAGTCTGTACTGGATGACTTTTAGTTTACAGTAATATTATTTACGAGCTAGTAATTAGTGTGAGACTACACTCTTTAATATTAATAATTTATTATAATAAACACTCGGACTGTATCGGTGATCGTACAGAGTGTACGTGTATATTTCTCGTTAATTTCTACCCCACGTGAATCGTCGCCGCCTCACCTCACCTATGTAGCTCGTCGGGCATAACTCAGATTTGTTTTTCATTTTCCACTCTCCTGGCAGAAATATAGTCCGGGGGGCATTCGTTGCTAAGATTTCAATTTCCTTTCCGGAATTACTTGTGCTCTAATCGAACACGCGTCGAGGGATCAGAGGGAGTCGCAGCCGCAAATTACTCCCCGCGCCGCGTGCGAATGTTTAAAATGTGTAATTTAGGAATGTTCTTGTTATACTCATAGTTAATGCTTAATGCTCCTCAATTATTTATTACTCTGCGGCTCATCGATCGCTCCGTACAGACACTGTTGCTGCTCACCGCATACCAACTAATTAATGGTTACACATAAAACGTGTTCAATAGTTTTTCAACGAATCATTTTATAACATTCATTTTAACGGTGTTATATAAAAGGTATCTGGCAATAGAACAGATGTAAGTTTTTATGCATGGTGAAGTCGGTAAGTTATGTGTAGGCTCGCCGGCTGGCGGAGGGCGGAGGGCGGGGGGCGAGGGGCGAGGGGCGGGAGGCTGCTGATTGTGCTCACAGACGAAGCCTATTCGATTTCACGGCTCGGCGCTTCTGATATTTATTGTCATCGGTGCATTTGTACGACACGGTGCTATTGAACCGCGATGAAAAATCTCTACAGCCCAGGTCGAACGAAAACATTCCGTACGTCCCGCGCCGTGTACCCTCACTCTACAATGAAAGCCTCCTCGCCGTGGGCTCGTTAACAATGGAAGATGAATGTTAGAGGACGTCGCTCGTCTCGTTAGGAGACGTCGTTAGTAGATGGTAATCACGTGCTGCATCAGACAGACGGGAGACGTGAGGGTGACGCTCACCAACACACACGTGTCACGTGGCAGAATAATATTGGGATGAGATCCAATTTAAACGGTAACTGATAGCAATGACCTCGTTCAATAGAGGCTATGAAATGTTCTTGAATCCTCATATATCCATACAGAGAATGGGGCCCAGGGATCAGGAACTGGAGAGAACATCTATAAGTCGTTTCAATGGAGGAAATAAATTACGGTTGGATATATTATAAGTTGTCATTGACCGCTGTTGGTAGTGAGCCAAGTCGAGAGACATTCCACTGCTCCAATATTTTCCTGTCTCTTAAAATCAACTATTCTAGATGATTTTTGATTTGTTTTATTTTTAAAAATATATATCGAATTTACGTCTAAAATAATATTATATTCTTCAAGTCAATTAATGTAATAATAAACATAGTTCTTTTCATTTACTCTTCTATATAAAAGCTGTATTTATTTCACTAGGACATAATAAGGTTGTGTTTAATAATTAATAAAAGGAGGACCTCTCCCTTCCAGAATTCCAGTTTCATGACGGTATTGCGATGATTGTAACTTTGAACAGATAGAAATGTGCTTAAACGATTATTTAATATTGTAATAGAACATCGAGCCTGATCAACCATAATCAGCCATGCAGGGGGCAGCTGCATTGCGCTGAGTTACATTATGTCGCGTTGCATTGTGTTGTGTTGTGTTGCGTTGCGTTGCTTCTCCCTGATCACAACACGACTCAGTGTTGACACTGCAGGAGCTGTCTGTGATTGCGGCTCAGTTTAGTCATTCCCTTTATCTGTGCCTATTTAATATATGATACCCGATTAGCCGGATTGTCTTTGTGGTCGCCAGTCGCCACACAAACCTACCAAGATACAATCACAGCCGGAATGGCTGGAATACTTTAGACAATTAGTCGTACGACCCGATTTATAACACGTTTGTTTATTTTAATTCTTATAAATATTCGAGTGTTGTGAGTGAATTATGCACAACCAATATCCGAGTCTTCTCACATTGTATGAACTATTATTATTATTGAGAGTCGCTGTTATTATAATAAGTGTATTTCACGACCGGTCTAGTCCAGTGTTCCGTCACATCGTGTGCAGGCCGAGCTCGTCTCCTCCCCTGATTGCATTATCGTTGCATACTCAGCCATTTGCGACCGATTAACTTCCCCTCTCCGCCGACCTCGTTCTCACCGCCGACTCAAACTCACGCCTTACTCACAGACGGACGGGACCACTTCATATAATATATATAACAAATATTTCATACTATTATATTCATCTATTCAAATCCCTACTAATATTATAAAAGCGAAATAACTCTGTCTGTCTGTCTGTTACGCTTTAACGCCTAAACCATTGAACTGATTTTAATGAAATTTCGTACACAAATAGAGTTGACCTTGAGCAATAACATAGGATAGTTTTTATCCCAGACTTTTGAAAGGTTCTCTTGGAAACGCGATATAACCGAATGCTAGTACTCAATATTAATAAGTCGGTTAACGTCTGGTTTTAAGTCACTGGCTATGTTTCTTCTTGTTATAAGTTTGACAAACTGTCATTAATTAAATTAAATACAACATAGTCATCAGATCTGGAGAATGTTTCAACAAACTTGTAATTATTGTATCCATTTGAAACTCTGTCGCAGTAACAAGTGCTAACAACTCGTACATACTCTCGGACCTCGTTGAAGATGACAAACAGACAGCAATTATATTATTCGTTAAACTATTATCATTAAGAAGTGTATCTTACATTTTTAATAGCAATTTCGCAAAAACCTGACCTAATTCCTTCTTAATGTTCAAAACGATACCGGACCGCTTTCGTAAACCTACAAATTGTTTTAATATTAAATCCGGAACAAATGATCTTGTTTTCTGGCGCTGAGACGCGATCTAATAACGTTACGACGGCCTCTTTGAGAGTTAATTATGCATGCACTCCCGGATCATTACCGTGGCCTGTTAGCTTCTGGCCTGCATTCAAAACATTTACAATGAACCAGCGAAAACCGAGCGGCGGAGTCGTCTAGTTATTAATAAGGGAAGTGATTGTATCGTTATGAAAGGGCATCGGGAAATAAAGAGTCGGATACAAGAAGGTAAGTTGCTCCGCGGCGCTGGGACTGGCCGCATCTTCCCCGAATTAAAGGTAAATGTCTGGAGCTCCCTCGGGACAACCAGAGCCTGCTACTACCAAATTATATCTGAAAAATCACAATTGATCCACTTCCTGTATACGTATGTCTGTCTATTGTATTCATAACGGAGTTAAATCCTTCAAATTATAATCGAATATATTATTTCTAACTACAAAACTATGAACGTCTTTATACATATCTTTATAACGTCACCTAATTATCTACTTTCGTATAAAAAGTATTCACCTTGTACGTAAATAAAATTTGCATTCAGAAACTCAACACTAGGGCTGCTAAGATAAAAGCCGCTGAAATCCGAGTGAGCGGTGAATTTCTTCTAGCGAGAACCGTCTTCGCTCGTCGGCCGGTCATAAAAACGACTCAAATAGGATTTTAACCGCGAGTCCCCCGCTTTAATTAAATTGGATTTGTAGCTAAAGAGATGTACATGAAAAACTGTGTCTATTATAACAGGCGACTGTATCTTGGAGAATTAAAATGAAAAGATCATTGTTTTATTTTGAAATAAGTGTTGCATGAGGGAACGCGGAACGTTACAGAGGAAACGACAGCCTGCTCGAGAGTCGCGCCTCTCACGACGAGCCGAGTGCTACACGAAGCGGAGTGAAATGAACAAAAGTAGCTTCAACAGTTAAAACAGCTCGTGAAAGAAATGTTCAGTTCTTAAATACTGTGGTATTATTAAAGAGGTAACAGCTGGAGCGGGACTTTGATTATCACTCGCAATCACTTTCGGAAGCCGAATTACAACTATGAAACGTTTAAAACAATCTATAAAAGATTTAGGAAGCTGCTCCATCGTCATAATATACAGAATACATTAAATATCTCTGTAATTTATTGTTAATTATCGTCTCTATATTCAAGGTGGGACCGCTCGGGTGACTGACGTAACTCAATAAATCCAATTACTCGTGAATTTTTTCGTAATAATTAAATCAAGGATGTAATATTGAATAATATTATGTTGTAATTAAAATTCCGAGGTGTCTGTCGGCTAATAAAAGCCCCGTCCCTTATCCGTCATCCGTCATTCGGTCCTTGGAGATTTCTTCAGGGGAATAATTTACGTAGATCGTCTGCGAGGGGAGCGTAACTGCCTCACTGTAACTTGTAGCCTCCGCTCGGGATGCTGAGATTCGTGGACCGCGGCGTCTCAACTTTGTCTAATAAATTTCAATAGACAATTCACAAAATCTCCATCTTAATGAAGAACTTCAAACTTAACACTGTTACTTTACATTTTTAACTCTTATTTTATGTATTTTAAACTATTTATATCAAATTTGATTTATAATAGAAACAATGTTGGAAACGGTAAAAAGTTACTTGTATATTAAAAAGTGATTTAAATGACGTACCAGTTTAAGAAAAAACGACAAAGTCAGGGTATTTAAATTACTATTTTGGTCTGTATTGATTTTTTTACATATACATACATGTATTTGTGTTGTAATTTTACATTTTAAACTAATGACAATTATGATTTCTTCTTCTTCTCTCAAAAGCTGATATACTAGATAAAATCTTTATTTTAAATATTTATTTAATTTATTAGCACAATATATAAAAAAAACATAAAAAATTAAGGCGTCACTTGCATTTTATTGAAAGTAACAAACTAATATAAATCACATCTCGTCTTAATGATCACGGTTGCTGCAAAGTAACCGAAACGTCATGAGTATGTAAAGTTTAAATAATTAAAATC